TTTCTTTGGTATCAAAGCGATGAAGGTTGCATTTGCACTTGAGTTAAATTTGCCCCTCTCATGGAACTCATCAAACACCTCCATCAAGTCACCCTTAATTATTTCCCAACAATCTTGATAGAAAGCCATCGTAAAACCATCAGGTCCTAGGGATTTAGATCTCACCATCGAGAAAACTGCATTTTTACTTCCTGAACCTCAAATTTCCTTTCCAAGGAGTCCAACAGCTCTCCGTTCTCAACCCTCCAATCCAGGTCCTCTATGTTTTCTCCAGACCTCCTTGGACTCTCATAGAGAGTTTTGAAATGATTCACAAAGGCTTGGGCTATGTCTTCATCTCTCGTCAATACTTGTCCATTCCACTCCAATTTCAACACTGAATTTTTCCTCTTTCTCCCATTTGCCAACATATGGAAAAAACTGGTATTGTCATCCCCTTCCCTAAGCCATTGACATCTAGATTTTTGTCTCTAAGTAACCTCTTCTTTTCTTAAGATGTCTTTCAACTCCTTCTTCAAACCCCATCTCTCTCTCCTCTCTTCTGAACTCAAACTTCTCTCAGCTTCCTCACCATCTATATGATGGATCTCCCTTCCCTTCACTCAACTCTGGCACCTCTTCTTGTGTTTTGTTGTTGACCTCCTGCTCCATGATGTGAGCCACTTATTTCTTCTTAGGAGCCATAATCCAAAGAATGATCAAACTTGTACTCTGAAACCTAATGGCGTAATTCAGAAAACACATCACGTCCAGAGAAGCATCAAAGAAAAAAGAACCAAAGCCGAAAAAACAGAAAGAAGAACAATTCTTCACTAAATTATCCACTGACTCCTCCCGACGAGAACTCTCTCCAAGCAGATAGATCBCGTTCGTCTCACAGCCAGTCCCAATCACCTTCCTCGTCTCCAARTCCTRAAAAACACRTCGGTCAGGGAAAAAKGTTWCTGAACAGTTCATGTGTTTGGTAATACTACTAACTGAAAGCAGGTTAGTATCAAGCTTAGGAACATGCAAGACAGAAGATAAAGAGATAGTATCCGATAG